CTACTATGAACCCGGCTGCTCCATGTCCCCCAGTTTCGGCCGTTGCTCGTTCTCCTCCTACTGTGAACCCGGCTGCTCAATGTCCCCCAGTTTGGGCTGCTCCTCTTTCTCCTACTGTGAACCCGGCATTCTTTGGATCGATGCTTCAATGGCCCCAAGTTTCGTCTGCGGCTCCTCTTTCCTCTCCTACTGTGAACCCGGCTGCTCCATGTCCCCCAGTTTCGGCCGCTGCTCGTTCTCCTCCGACTGTGAACCCGGCTGCTACATGTCCCCCAGTTTGGGCTGCTCCTCTTTCTCCTACTGTGAACCCGGCATTCTTTGGATCGATGCTTCAATGGCCCCAAGTTTCGTCTGCGGCTCCTCTTTCCCATCCTACTGCAAACCCGGCTACTCCATGTCCCCCAGTTTCGGCCGCTGCTCGTTCTCCTCCTACTGTGAACCCGGCTGCTACATGTCCCCCAGTTTGGGCTGCTCCTCTTTCTCCTACTGTGAACCCAGCATTCTTTGGATCGATGCTTCAATGGCCCCAGTTTCGTCTGCGGCTCCTCTTTCCCCTCCTACTGTGAACCCGGCTGCTCCATGCCCCCCGGTTTCGGCTGCTCCTCTTACTGTGAACCCGGGTTTCTTTGTATCGATGCTTCCTACTGTGAACCCGGCTTTCCTCGGGTCGAAAACGACGTCTGCTGGAGCGGCTGAGATGTGGCTAAATCCTGGAATTGGGGCGCGGTGGGGAGTTGAAGAGCAGCCGAGCAAAGGGGAAGATTCTGTGCAGCAGGGAGAAGCGAGCAACGAGAAGAAGGATAGGGCGAAGCCGGAAACAGATCGGGAGACACAGCGTGATACAGAAACGGGGCAGAGCAGGAGCCGGGAAGTGGAGAGGGACGAAACGCCGCGGGAGAGACGTAGGGAGGAGAGCGACGGGGGAAGGCGAGAAGATGCCCGAAAGGGATCGGCACGGCGCTGGGTACAGGCATGCCGACCGTCACAGTCATCGGGTTGGTCTGCAGCAGGGAGAAGGTAGCCATGGGAAGAAGGATGACGAGAAGATGCCCGAAAGGGATCGGGAACCCTCTCACCCTCGGCAAAGTGAGACAATCCTTCCACCGGAAAAACAAGTTAAGCTACAATAAATACTTTTATTACTTTATGCACATGTCATATTTATTCCACTATAATTTAGTGTAGTACATATAGACGCTCTTTTATTTGGTAATTTTAAGAGACATTTGAGTTGAATATATTGTGTACATTTGCAGGATTGGTCAGACGGACATGACGGAGTGGAGACGGTGATCCTGAAACACACTAGTTTTGCTGTTATAACACTGTACAGACTGAGGTTAATAACATACTGGAAAATTACTGGAAGATTGCGAAGACATTACCCCTCTTTCTTATCCCTCTATCTTGGCCAGCTAGCATTTCACTTCATTCCATGGTACTGATGACATCGAGTTTCACCACAATTGGCTAATTTACAGCTTCGGCAAACATATCACGAAGAAAAAAATGAAACCCCTTGCCGTGTCTTGATGAGTGCAATTCATGTAACATCTCATTAGTCCCACATCGGAAGTGGACAATGTGTATGATTAGCTTATAAGAACCTGATGAGTGTACTACGTTAACTTCCGCTTAAGCATTTTGATCCGCGGTTGAAGGACCAAAATGGAGTTATTGGTCAGTTGACTCATCAGACTCGGGTCATGACATTTGGTATCAGAACCGACCTAGTATTTGGACAGGATGAGAGGACTCGAGTAGGAAAGGACTACCCGTGGATGGAGTCAGAGAACGTGGAGCCACCACTGAGTTAATCCTCACATGCACTATACTAGGATTCGATCTGAAATATGTCGGGCCGAGAACGTCAAGCTAATTGAGTTAGGGATAATGTAACATCCCATTAACTTATAAGGGTCTGATGAGTGTACTACGTTAACTCCCGCTTAAACATTTTAGACTCGGGTCGTGACAATTCACACCCACAGACTTCCACCTCCGACAAAAGATTCATGGTGAAGGCCACAAGAACTCAGACATGTCATTATAAAACTCTTCAAGGAATATGCAAATACCAAAAAAGAACAAAGAGGCTCTTAGAGCATCACCGGCATAGCTGGTATCGACCTTTCACCTCTTTCCAGCTTGTTCAGACTCCCCAGTTTTGCTCTCTCAGCACAGTTGACCGGACAATGTAATCCTACAATGAGATGAGGAACTAGTGATTAAACACCCAAGCATGTTTCTTTTAGCAACATTTGACATGATAGAAAGTGTCAAGACTTTAACAATTTATCACAAAGTTCTAGGCTCGAATCCTACTTACATCACTTACTTTTCGACCTTTTACACAAAACTTAACATGGTAGGTCCAATATGAAACTAATTAGACCAGAAACCTAACATATCTCAACTAAATTTAGGGAAAGCAACAATGTCCAGGAGAAACGGGTGGGGTTGAACAAGAAAAGCTTAGGTTCCATCTTGTTATCTCCGTGTCTCTAAATGAGAGGTAACAACACCAAGAGCACAAGTAACAATGATATCTCAGATAATTCTCCAGGAAGCTAACAATGCAGTAAAATACATGACTGTAATTATTGTCTTGTTATATCTATCAATAATAATACTTGCAGTATGATACTAAATATTGATTAACAAATTATAGTGAGAAACTAAAATATATCACGTCAATCAGTTTAGGTTTTCAGGCCATAAACATTATGATGCAATTAACTGATCTTACATGAGTCTACGATCATGGTGGATGAACACAAAGAGGTCAGAGGAAATTCCAACGAACCAGGAGTTCTTCAGGAGTAACTTGCAAGGAGTCATCGTGCAAAAGAATCAACACACAAGAGGTATCCTTCCAATTTTCTTGGATAACTTGTCAGACATGTCATCTCCTGTGCTACCTTGAAGCTGACTAAGCAATTTTCTGCCACCTGATTGCCAGATAGGATCTTTCATCACGGTGATCAATGGTGGATGGAAAAAAAGTGAGGTTCCAGACATTTAAGCGGACTTAGGAGTGCTCTAAAGCCAATTTGTTATCACGAGGAGTCTTGGTGTAAAATAGTCAAACCATTTCCCTTCAAAATAATAAATGAAGTTAATTATTTAATGAACATAAGCCAATTATTCATCTAACACAAGCCAATTATTCTGTATGATATTATTCATCCAAACTCAACAATTATAATCCATTAAAAATATGAAAAATAATTTACATATAGAACACGTAAATCTGTGGTGCATTTGCCCAGTAGCATTGAATACCATGGAAAATTAGAAGAGAGTCACATATATGCACGTTCAGCATATTTCATGATCGTGTTCTCTAATTCAGTTTCCAGACAAATGACAAAGAACAAGTAGATTAATACATACCTTTGTGTTCAGCATGTTAGTACCGGTAGGTCTTCTGATTGCACGTCTACTGAGGCTGATTTGCACAGAAATGCTGGCTTCAGACTGATCTAATCCCATACTAGCTACTACTTGTGAAATTATGGTCAGAAACCTGTTTGCAGGTAACACATAAGGAGCTAATTCCACATTTAGGAACAAGATATAATCTACCCACGAAGAAGGCCTTGACAACAACCAAAATTGACTTTAGCTTTCTCAAAACGTCAAGCCAGATATGATCTGGGGAGTATTAACTTGAAGATCCAAAATAACAAAATGCAAATTTACATGACCACCTTGGCAGGAAATTGTGAGGGGTTCCCAGACAAGAACTGGACATTCGTCTTGTATGCACTTACATAGGTCAATAAGAAAAGATGACGCTAACTTAACATGTAAATTGGCAATCACATTTAAAAAAAAATCAGAAAAAGATGACGCTAACTTCAATCACCCATATCATCACCCTACAACAACAGAGAACAAAAGCGACAAAATGATCAAAGGATCCATAGGCCTCTCAACGTTTATCAACCTGTTTACAGTCGGAATGCCTGAGGCCCTTGCCAAGTAATTTTCATGCAGAACTGAAGGTGGCATTCAAAATACCAATAGCTCCGGCCACTGGGTCAATCCATAGCTGTATCTAAGACTAGCATTTAAACTCTAAACTTATCCAGACATACAATTTACAATTACTCATGTGTATGTCTCTGATTCTCAGTCACTTGTTCAGACATATCCCGATTCTACGTCTCGGCTTATGTTACAGTCACTTCTTCAAACCAAGGGGGGAACAAGGTCTACTTCCATCAATGCCATCTATGTCAGAGATCACAGGTAATTTATTGTGCCCCCTCCCCCCCCCCTCTGTCTCTAAAACTTACATACACCTGCACAATCACCTGGAGATGCTATTGGTAGGAAAGACACTAAAGGCTAAATCGTCAGGTAGTAAAAAGTTTCTCCTCTCTCTGATTGAAATGCTGATGGATTATTCTCTTTCACACCTTTTGTTGGAATTGTGAAGCTCAAGTTTCTGAAATCACATGCTTCGTCAACCTTTGCCAATTATGTCGGGCAAGGTGAGGTGAGGCCTGAGCGCCTCGCAAACCCCCTTGAAGCGCTGCTCCGGCGCTCGCCTGAGCCCAGGCGTTGGGCGCCTCGAGCGTTCGATTGGACTTGATAAGTTGGTTCAATGGAACCAACTAACGCTGTGACCTGACAGCCCCAACCCGACCCACTGAAAGAAAGCAGAGGTGAAAATGAAACCCTACCGTCGTTCGTTCCGTCCGATGTTACAGCTCCGTTTGTCGCCGTCGACAACGTCATCTGCTACTGTAGTTTCATCCGTTAGCAGCTGCAGTTTAGTCCGCCGCCCTCTCCTTCCCCCATCTTCCCTCTTTAGAACCGTTTAGCAGAATAGATTTGAGCCGTGAATAGACTATTTATGTCTCAAGCAAACCTCTTTGAGATGATCCCAGAGATCTCCCAGGCTCGTCTTCGTCCCCGCTAGATCTTGAGGCCGACTCCATTTAATCGCCTTCCTCCTCTATCGATAAGTAATTTAGCGAAGTAGGTACATTCCATACACGGAAGAGTTACATATCGACGAGGACGATGATGAGGTAACTATGTGATGTATTTGGTATAGGAAGTATATCAATATAACAACGTTTTCCAGCTAAGATACTACTTATATACACATTATCTTTTATCCAAATACTTTATCGTTAGCATTCGTTTTCCACTCAATCACTCTGATCTATATTTTCTGGTATATTTATAGAAAATAAGAGTATAATATTATATTCATAAAAGAAAGATAAAAATTAACAAGTCTTTTTAACTTTTTAGATTATATCTATTTTATTCTAAAAAAATTAAAACTTTTTATTCATAAGATTAAGTTTAATTTTAACCGTGTCTACTTAATTTTGATCCTTCGATGCTCAAAAATAAGTAGGATAATTCAAGTAGCAATAGCGAAGAAAAAGACAATAAACTGAACTTTTATTAGCTACTTATGATTAAAAATATTTTTATAATTATTATCGATACGAAGAATATTTTCTATTTGGATTGATGCAGAATTTCACAACAGTATCATATTATTACAGTAGCTCAAACGAAAAAAAGATCCACTCCATTCTAATGTTCTTATGTGCTTTCTCGATAGACTGCTTGAAGACTTATTAGCTGAGAATGAAAAACTAAATCTCTGGTTCATATCACCATAAGTTCACAAACCTTCCCTTCTCTGATTAAAGGTCGAAAAGGTTATATATAATTAGTGTGATACACTTTGTCAACCATCTAAAACACAATATGTTACAGCAAAAAGAAAACGTTCTTTGTCAATAGTATTACCACTGGTAAACAAGAGACAGCCCAAAGGCTCCAAACAAGCATCAATTTTAATGACTGATTCAGAAAGGAAAAATATGATTACTTAAACTTGCAAATCAAAGTTTAAGTAGGAATATTATGATGTGCAGATTGTACCTTCTTTTCAAGTAAAGAAACATATTTATCAAGCATTGATACAACAGCTTCAAATTCAGTAAGTTGCTGGTCTATCTTCTCAATTTGCTGGACATACTCTTCAAATCCATGATTTTTCTCACATAGTTGCTCAACAAAGACTCTCAGGCCAGCTGCGACATCTCCATATCCATTGTATTCCTCAGCTACTCTCTGGTTCATTTTTTCCAGAAGCAATAGTTGATTATTTGTTCCCTGAAATGGAAAAAATCTTCATTATAATGAGAAAATTGTGGTTGTTCCCACAGAAGTATCAGATGGATAGAAATTTATTTATAATAAAAGTTCATAGGCAGAAAAAGATGAAATGGGATCATGCTTGCATCATCTAGCATACACACATTTTTTAGACAGGAAACATATGGATTATTTACAAAACAAATTCATCATGAATCAACAACAAGGTCGTAAAGTGCTAACAAATTCATCATGAATCAACAACATCAGTTAAAAGTCTAGTTTCTATTAAAATCTTTTTTCATCTCCCTCTACCTCTCCTCATACCACTATAATAATTATTCCACCTCTTCTTACTGTAGATATCTTGAGCATATATCAATACCATAAAGGATTCTTCCTCATTTTACCCTCTATCATAATTTATCTTGAATCATGAACATAAATTTCTTTCCCTGTTTGGTGGATAAAGGAAAAGTAAACAATTATAATGCCTAGCGTGTTGACTCATTTTTTAGAACATATTCCACTCGGAGTATATGAGTAAAAAAATGTTGCTCCATTAACTGAATGAACACATAGGGGACACTGCAGCTTCTTGTTGTTGTTGTTGTTGATATATAGATTGACACGAGAATTGCATTTAGGCAAACTGTAATAGAAGATAATAATAACATTTTTTTTTAACGATCTACTGGATAGTTCTTTTGCATCACACACATGCAAACATCTTAGAGGTGCTTCCTAAATTTACAATGGAATATAGCTAGAAAAGGAACCTGTGTTTCCAGTACCAAAATGCTTAATATCAGGACATTCTTCAAAATTTTCCTACTAAATTTAGAAATTAAGATCCATTTAATACAATTTAAGATTCAAGTCCAAATCAGATATTGTAAACAGAAGGGAAAATACTCAGAAATGCTTGGTTTCCCCAGTGTCATCAGTTCAATAATCATAACTGTAGCCAATGCATGAGCAAGGCCCTCTTGGTCAGTTCAACATTATTGTAGATAGAATGGGGCTTTCCCTTGTAAAAATTTAGCAATTAATTAATCATGAATGTGATAGCATTTGATGCTACTCTGCCATCATACACATCATTAAGTGCCAATACTGGCAACTCAGGCTTCGTTGTCATTGATCTTCTGCATTCACAAATGATATGAATAACATACCTAATCATAAAAAGAGAAGAGTAGAAAGCGCTACAAGAAAAATTACATTCGAACACATAGCTAAAGAAAAAGGAGGAGCCCATAGGTCTTTCAAATCCCAACTAGTTTATGTCCGAATTAATCCTTCACATCGCTTACCCTATTGAGGGTTATTTCCTGCTAAACAGAGACAGTTGGCACTATTGTGTTGATTGCCAATATCTCGTATGCAATCTATGATGTTACTCTCGAGAGGTGTTACCTCCATCTTGCATTAATGCAGCCTACCTCTCTTCTGTAATTTCTAAAAAGTATGCTATTGTTGGCTCTAATAGTGCTTCTTTTTTTTTTGTATATTCCATTACATCAAATGGCATACATGACGCTTACACGTGGATTCAAACTTGAGACCTATCACTAATGCAACAATGCACTAACAAACTCAGATATCTCAACGGAGACAATAGTGCTTATTGTTAACATAAGGTTATTTCATATGAACTACATTCAGACCGAATGGGCTAGGCCTTTTGCCACAAGATGCAGAATAAGTACACCACTATTGTATGGTTGTCCAAAATAATGATAAGTTTATTTTACTCTTTGTGGAAGTTAACTAGACATGTCAACTAGGTGCCAATTCAGGAATGGTGTGACAACCAAATGTCTTCACTCACAAGAATTTCTTTCAGCCACGGAGAGAAGAGGAACAATGTTAAAGCATGACTGACGAGAACAGATAACTGAACTATAATGATGGAAGTTAATAATCTTTCTAAAGAGTAATCATCATAAAGGTAATAAAAAGAAACAAATTAAGGTGAGAGCATGATTTGAGGATCAACAGTTTTGGTCTGCAAGCAATTAAAAAACTGTACATAGTTTGATCTGAAGAGATTTTTGTTTGAACTCTTTCATAGTCGATGCGAGTTCATACCAATAGGACAAGCAACACAAAATATACCCTTCTGTCACAATAAACCGAATTCCCAAAATGACTCTGCAGAAGAACCTCTAAATCCTGAAGACGAGTCCGAAAGAAGCAATTTTGATAGAAATAAATGACAACAATCCACAATTTTCAATAAAATTAGGTAACTACTTGTCACAAGATACCAACATATGAAATCACGGAAACGAATCGAAGAGAAGATTCAATGGTGGACCTCGAGTTCGCCTTTGATCATGGCGGATATACTGGTGAAGAGATCGGCCAAGGATTCCGCAAGCTCGTGTCTCCCCGCCTCCCTCCTCTTCTCCTCCTCCGCCATCACCGCCTCCCTCTTCTTCTCCGCCTCCGCCATCACCGCCCTCCCTTCGATCGACTCCAGAAATCCCTATGCGTCGTCCGGTTCGGGGGACGCCAAACTAGACCCAATAACCGGTGCTATTTCCGGTTCGGTTCAGTATAGCCGGTCCGGATCCGAAACCATCGGCCATAAGAGTATCGAGTCTTCTCGTATACGTATTTTTGTACAAGTGTCAAAGTGACGTGCATACGTCCGTGCTTTTGTGTAAGTACACGAAGGATCAGTAAGAACTGTTCCCAGTAAATATGTAATGGCTGAGCCACTCTATTTGAAATATTTATGCAATTTCATTATTCCAATAAACAATTGCTTTCATTATGCAATTTCATTCGATAAATTGTATATTTAAAATATTAATTCATCCAATTGAGGATTTAAAACATCACCTGTCAATCTTTTTTACATAAAAAAACATTGGTATATATTTACCTTTGCCAAAAGAAAAAAAAAGATTTATTTATTTCTCAGTGTCTATTGGCTTCAACAGGTACAGAACTGAATCCACCGAGAGGTACTCGTGAATGCTTGACAAATGCTTAAAAGAACATACCACAAGGAATTTTCACAAACACCAGAATTAACAATGTATCTTGAAATTACAACATCACTTACCGGCTGTCAACGAATATATTGTCTATCTTATGGCATAGAAAACAACTAACAGTAAGTTACAAAGAACAATCCTTTTAACATTTTTTTTTTGGTATTTAAGATGAGAATTTCAATATGAGCTTGTCGACATGAATGATTATATCGTCGATGTTCGGCCGCATTGCAGGTTGGGGCTGTAACATCCAGAGCACAAACTGGTGGAGGTTCTCAGGATAAGGAGGGTTGTGTCCAGATGGCCATTTAATCTGTGCATTCATGACAGCTAACTGTAAGCTTCCTCCGGATTCACCGAGTGCATACTCAAATGGTGATGTTCCGTACCTGCAAGATCCAACAAAAGATAACAGGAGAGATGTTAAGGGTATCAGTAAGAAGAAATTATTCTGCTCAATCAGTGGAATTTGGTGAAAGACTAGTTTGTGAAGGATTTGAATGTTTCTACCAATGAGAATCACCAAACTTAATTGATCTCTCCATAGGGAAAAATCGAAATACTAATATGCCCATCAGCCCCGTGTTGTTTTCACCAAAATGAAGCAGCTGTTCTGCATCCTACAATCTCCACCCTCAGCAACATTTTTCAGTTAAAACATTTTTCCTATAACAATGATTAAGGTTCCTCGTAAATATAATCAACAATACTGGACTCCTATGTGTTCTGTAAGGGAAAATGAACAAAGTGAAGAAAAGGTCATTTTAACTATATAGAGAATATAGTACGATACAAATGTCAGGCATCAGAAATCCTACAATATATATTACTGACCGTGGAATGTTTTATGATTTTAAATCGTGAATTTTCACATTGCAACCTGTACGGTACCAAAGTATCATATTAGTTGTACGGCTTTTGACTTCATCTTGGCATTCAATTATATCAGCAGCATCATACTGTATTGTTCTCTTTTCACACTGATGTGAATATTTAACTCCAAACATCAAGGGATTCGAGTGATAATAGCAGAGAATAGTTACTTCTACATGAAAAGTAGTGGATTCACTTTAGAATTGATATTATCACTGAGGATATATGGTTAAGGCACAGTGTGTGTGCAGTGAGAAAGTCAGAGTTTTAAGTCCAATGAACATCATGTACGTGTGTTATGTATTGTCTGAATGGAAAGAGTAAATTTCAAAAAAAAAAAAAAACTTAGTTTGACAGTAACTTAGAACACATAGATAGCCAGCATGCATCATCCATATTTGCCAATGCAATACTATTTTTTGGTTTAAAGCGGTCTATCTTGTTAAGCAAAAGTGATTATCTGGTCATTTTGCATGTACAAATTTTGAAGAATGAAGTACAACAAATAACATATGTAAAACACAACAGAATGAAAATGACACTAAATGCGAGCAAAATACAAGGATGACATAATAATCAACAAGAAAATTGCATACCGTTCAAGCATATAATACAAGGCATATAAATACTCACATTATCGCATACAGGGTACAACCGAGCGACCAGATATCTGTCCTCTCATCAATATCAGCATGGCTTGGACAGTCCCACAGCTCAGGAGCACGGAAGGGTGCAGAACAGTGCTCACTGGCCCATTCCTATACAGAAATTCATTAAATAAACCGGTGGAAGCATGTTAAAGACTCCATCAGCTTGTTGAACGGCAACATTTCTTTTTATGTTAACCAGGTTAATGTAGTAGAAGATGGAAGTAGATACTGTGACTGCCAAAAGTAGTTGGTAAAGGCCTGTGTATATTGCAGCTAGATTACTAGAACAATTTGAGAAAATTTGAAGAATTATCAAGGAAGGCACCAACACATAAAATGATACAGTGTGCTTTTTTTTATTTCGAAACTGTTCCCATTCTCAATACTTTGTAGTTTCCTTTTGGATATTTCAGTGGTTCAATTCCAACTTAGCTCTTCAAACATAATTGATAAGAAGCAAAAGAAAATTCAGTTTGAAATCAGTCTAGTGTCTCTCTTATGATCTTGATGATTCAAACCTTTTTGAGACTACGACAATCAGTACATATATAACAATATATCTTTTTTTATTTACCAAAATTTTCTTTAGAAGAGACCCATACCTGTAACTGTAAAGCCTCTGATCTCGAACGAATTTCTTTCCTTGCAGGGCGTGCACTTCCAAAATCCATTAAAATAGCAAGAGGAGGTTGTCCCTTCCTGTGAGTTATGAGAACATTACCAGGTTTCACATCATTATGAGCATATGGAGGATCAAAGCTGTGCATGTGCTTCAGACCAGCACAAAGCTGTATGCAAACAGAATGCAGGATGTCAGTGTCATAATTAAATATGACGTGAATGGTAAATTTATCAAGAAATAGAGACTGGAGAGGAAATGAACATAAGAGACAATATAGGCATGTTTAAATGACAACAAACTTAACTCCTGGACACCATACTTTAAATGAAACCAGACAAACATTACAACGATAAATCGACCAATAGTTCTCTTAACATAAATCTGTGTAAATTTACAAGAATGACAACAGTTTCTCAACGCAGAACAAGTGATTACAGATCTTTTGCAGTAGATACTAAAATGCTTTGTCAGGAATGACATTCCAGTCAAAAGAAATTGTTGTACTATGTTTCACTGAACATATAGCTGGGAGCAAATGAGGAGTTAATAATGTAGAATAAAAAAACATCAATTTCTCCCTTTCAACCACAGTATCAAGACAATCCAGGTGGGTGTAGGGACAAATAAAGGTCCAATTGGTTGCAGTTATGACACTATATTATAATTAGAATATATGAGGTAGAAACAGCCTCAAATGATTGCAAACCAATGTGTCCACTTCAACAAACTGAATGCTTTCTTACAACATAAGAGAAAAGGAAGATAAAGAAGTGCAAAAACTTGAAAACCAGCTTGTAGAAGAAATTGGTAAGTCCTTGTGGGTCTGTGAATATAATTTGAATCTCAATCAAAGCAAGTCAGTACCAGAGGACGAGTGATTTTCTAACACTACTTCCTTTCAAGCTGATGTTACATTTGAATAGTTTGTAAATATCAAATATACAAATAGTTCTTATTAACTCTTCTATCTTATGAAACATATCCATCATGATTTCGACCTTTCTTTTTTGACAGCAGTCGGTGCAGATGAAAAAAAAAAAACCCTTCCTTGGGCAACTTAAATAATTTTCATTTGTTTCAATTTTGTTCTCATAATTACCATCCCATGGCTCTCCTTAAACTTTTAAATTTTCCTATTTTTATTATTGTGAAATTAAATAATTCTAAAGCATGATGAAGTCCTATTTTTTACTGTCAATACTACTAAGCATGAATAGAGGAGGCAACAGCCCCTGTTTCCATATGGTTTTCACTGGCTAAATGATCTGGGGAATTGGGATACTTCAACCCATTATAAACCAAATCATAATAGAAACAATATAGAAGGAACAAGATAGACATCTAAGAATTTAAGACTGCACCAAGATTAAGATATCTGATCAAGATAATGCTAATTGAAAATCAATTCTGCCATAGTGTTAATAGCCTCTGCAAGTTACATAAAGTCAGAATCAAAGAACCAAATACAAAAAGAAGACAGGAAGATGTAATAGTACCTGTCTGAAAATCTGAAGAACAGTTGTTGTTGTAAAGTTTTCCTTCTTTGATTGCATAATGGTAGCAATGTCAAGTAAAGTTCCATCCAAGTGAACCGGGAACAATAAGTAGGCTTCATGCTTCCGTGATATATCATGTGTGCCCTACAAACAGATCACTGAACTATTACAACTTGTTGAAGACAAATCACCGCTCCTATTTTGTGATGATACCATCTAAAACAGTAACAATTTCTTTCCTGAACCACAAATATATGGGATCCTATGAGGTTTCAATGATAATATTTGAAAAAAAAAAAATACAACTAAAACTATATTTCCAACACGATATGTGACTCAAGTTTTGGCTTCAAAAACAAGTTAAAATTTCAAGTACGTGAACACTCAGCACTTTCCCTGACAATCAGAAAAGTACGCATTTTTGTGCATTACGTAAGCAGATAATGGCATCGATGTTTTTCTGACAGAACAGTGGAACTTCATCATGACCCAGCCATAAGTCATTTCTCAAATGATCCAAAATCATTTCTTTAACTCAAGAATCTTAGAAGCTATATGTTCACAATGTAGTGATACTACACTAAATTACCTTCATCCAGAACTTGTCAATTTAGAGTCAAGACTCAAGACTAAACCAATAACTAAAAGCCATGTTGCAAAGAAAGATTAGATAATGATGACAATACTAATAAACTTTTCTTGACAGCATGGCCAATAATTGTGGTCAACAACAGTGCAAGCAATGTAGAAGTGTCCCCACATAAATGATCCAAAAACAAGGTGAACACATAGTCGCACCATTAAATAGATCAATTTGTCCACTTTTATAAAAGACCTTGGTACAAGTCT